TGTTCCACCAATTATCTTTTGTTTTTGTTTTTGTTTTTTGTAGATAGATAGATTAATATAAAGATAGACAAATAGTAAATACTTACGCCAATGGACTAAGAAGGGTGAGAGAGAACCAATTGTTACCGACATCTGGAACGGTGATGGTAAGCACCAGGGCTACACTTGCCATGCTGATACAGGTGCAGAATGTGAGGAGTGCTGCTTGTCCTCGGCTCGGAACCATCATGCCTTCGAACCTAAATTAAACTTATATATATTATTATTATTATAATGTAATTAAAAAAGGCTGTAGGCAGTTGGTATTTGCTACTACTTACGTGATTGTCTCTCCTTTATCCAACACCATGAAGTTGTTGCGGGTGAAGAAGGAAAGAATTTCTCCGGCCACCTGGTTAGGCCCCTTGTTCTTTTCTTCCTCTATAAATGTCTTCTGCACCACCTGATGGATGATGGATGATGGATGATGAATTATGAATTATGAATTATGAATTATGATTGTGTTCATCAATTTATTTTGGTTGCTGCTGAATCTGAGTCGTAAGTAAAATTAAGGTAAATTACCTTTGATTTAACGGAGCGCTTGATGAGGGACCAGAGACCTGGTACCGAAATGACGAAGAGACCCAGAGAGGTGTAATAGCTGGCACTTGAATAACCCACGCTCGCAGCCTCTGCAACTTCAACCACAGGGTGGATTGTTGCAAGAAGCGATGAGGAGATGGAGATCCCGCCACGTCGACTCTTGTTGTTTAATCCCCATGATTTTTGGTTATGAAAATGATGATGATAGAAAGCGGGAGATTGTCTGCTGATTTCCAATTTGGATGGGAGGAGGAGGAGGAGACTCGCTTTCGCCACTGCCATTGCTAATTTTGATTGGGCTTGGATGAGCCCCCTCGCCACTTTCTTTTATCCCTATTTCTTTTTTAAATATTAAAACAAAATAATTAGTTCCATTCCGAAATGATGTTTGAGATTGCTTATTTAAAACAACTTATGTTTTTTTTTTTGTAAAAATGCTTTTTAATTTATGTGGTATTAAATCGGAGTTTTGTAAAAAATGTTTGGATTAGCTTATAGCGGTACCAAAAAACAATAAGTTGATAAGTTGTTTTTTAGTGTTTGACAAATTTTGCTTATATCTGTAAAATGACCAAAAAAGACCGTCTTCGTATTATTGACTCGAGTGTTTGAGATTGCTTATTAACTTATTTCATTTCCAAACGTGTCAAAACACACACAACAGTTAACGAAAGCTCATTCAAGACGATCTCTTTGAGTATGAAAGCTACTTGAAATGCTCTTAAACCCCACTGGTTTATTCTTTCCGCTAACAATTTGTACACGTTTCAACACTTCACCATTTGCCATTTTTGTTGAATATCTGCTTCGATTCAATATCTTTAAGGGGTTCAATTTTTACTACTATTAGTAATGTCACATTTGGATTTCTTCTGCTTAAGTTGTTATTTGGATCTTGGTTTCCTTCCTAGACACGTATTTTGTATTGCTTGTCCAATTTGGTTTAATTTTTGCTGCAATTCTATAAACTTTAGGGGTTCGTATTTGTGCCTTTTGATTTTCTCTGGTTATTCACGCTTTTTAACTAAGAAATAGGTCTTGGTAAGCAAATTTCCTTTTTATGAAGATTGAGGCTTTATTTTCTGATAATTGAAAAGCCTTAGAAATTGAAACAAAAAACCAAACTTGCAGAAATCGTGAATCACTAACCTCAAAACTTGGAGAAATCGTATCTGTTGGTTAGGGCAGCGATCTGTTTGTAGCAGGGGTCAGGGTATTGATCTGTTTGGAGGAATCGATGATGATATTCGGAGGACGATGAAGGGTCTGGAGGAGGATGAAGTTCTGGAGGAAGGGATATCGATAGAAGGTCGGGAGGGGATGTCAATGAAAGTTCTGGTGTAGAGAAGGGATATCGATGGAAGTGGTGTAGAGGAGAAAGGGATATCGATGAGATGTATATGTGATCCTGTATTGGAGAAATAAAACAGGGTTAAAATGGTAAATCGGTTATAAGTTGATTTTCATAAGTCACAATGAACTAATTTATCAAAAACTGCTTATTACCGGTTTGACACCGATATAAGCAATTTTTTTTCCATACCCAAACACTAGAAAACAGCTTATCTCTGATGTCAGACTGAAATAAGTTAAAAAACAATTTTGATAAGCAATCCAAAACACCCCTAATAAATTTCCTCAAAATAATACATCTTTTACATTTATTTTGATTTATGTTTTTGTTGTTGAATTTGAAGGACACGCATTTTGACATGTATGAATGAAGCCATAATATAAGAACTAAAAGCGTACTCGCGCAATGCAGCGAGATATATCGTGATTTTAACATTTCATTTTATTATTTATCTCAGTCGATGTTATAATATGGTTTTATGTGATTTTGAGAAAGCGATAATGTTTTTATTTTTGAATAAAATATATGTTTGAAGATATCATAAAAAATTGACAAAAATATATCGATATTAATATCAAATTAACTATTCGAAATTCCTCATTTTTTTGTGTAATTTTTTAATTCAATTTTTTATTATAATTTAATTTATGTACAATAACGAAGTAATTTATATTCGATTTAAAAATATAATTTTCTTATAAAAATAATAATTAATTATTTTGTTAGAACTCGATAATTATTCTAATTATATTTTAAATTTTTTATATTTTAAAATAAGATGTTTATCCTCTATTTGATTATATTTATCCGCAATTAGTTATACGAATTAAAAAATCGAGCTTTGATAAGTTGTACTTTTGCATAATTTACTTGTAATCTTGAATTTTAAGTAAACATTGGTTTTATGTGGTTTTGAGAAAGTGGTAATATTTTTATTTTTGAATAAAATATAAATTTAAAAATATCATAAAATTTTGGAAAAAAAATCAATATCAATATTAAATTAATATTTTTAAAAGTTCTTGCTTTTGGTGTAATTTTCTTAATTAAATTCTGTTAGTTATCAATGATTATCATAATTATATTTAAGATTTTTTATATTTAAAATGAGATATTTATCCACTATTTTATTATATTTATCTGCAGTTAATTAGACGAATTCAAGTATGGAGCTTTAATAAGTTGTACTTATGCATAATTTACTTGTAATATTAAATTTGAAGTAATATGCATCAATAAACAATACTTCGTGCATATAAAATTGTTTTTAAGAGTTTTTGTCAAATGTTTTAATATATCCAATATTTTATTATGTGTTTAAAAAAAAAGCAATAGTGCTTTTATTTTTAAATAAAATATAAATTTGAAGATATCATAAAAATTTTAAAAATATATATATCAATGTTAAT